GATTGACCCTTCGGTCTGACTCGAGACATGTAAGATGGCTTCTTATATCGATCTCTATTTCAGCTGCAAATATATTATCAACATATATGTACGTGTGTTTCAAATGGATATGATACCAAAATGTCTATAAGGATTAATCTTTTTGAATGTTTACACACTAAAATAATATTATTCTACCTAAAAATATAAGCAAAATAACAAGAAATGATCTCAAATAGTTTATTATTGGCATTATTTTATTATTGTCATCATATACCTTTGAAATCTACATCATTTTCTCAATTTATCTCGATTTATCACGCAAGGATAAATTGCGTATATAATCCACAATAAAGGTAAATATGAAGGATGTTATGTAAACGTCGATACTGCTGACACAAATCGAATTATTGATAATTCGTAATGAATTTTGACGTTAGCGATCGGCAAATATAGTTACTGCGACTGAGCTAATAGGATCGTGCCGAGTCGATACTCGTCACGAGATCTCGCGTCTTAATCGGATTTTATCGCAGATTTTCCGCGATATAATATCCCGCGCTATTTCTCGTCAACGGACGCTGTTATTTTTGAGTTGAGCGACATTTTTATATATCCGTTGCAAAAATTATTGCAAAAATCGTTTGGTTTTAATTTAAGTGATAAATACAGAAATAATCAATTTTCTAATTTACATAATATTTGAAAATTTGAATATTCTTACTATTAAGTATTATTAATTTCAATGTTAATACTCGTTGTAAAAAATTTGTATGTTAATAATTATTCAATTTTAGTTACTCATACTAATTTTAATAAAATAGTTATAAATAATTATCAAGTTTATAAACAGTTATCAAATTTCTGTTTATCTATATAACGAACTGTGAAAGAACAATATAAGATTTTTATTATCACCAATTAATTTATTAAATCTTTATATTCAGCTTCAAATTAGAATTTAAATAGATAAATTTAATAAAGTTTATGTATATTAATCTCTAAGAAAAATATGAGAGAGGAGCAGACGTTTTAAAGTATAAATTACTTTTTAGTATAAACTTACTTTTTTCAACGTTCTTCTTTTTTCTTCGGATTTTTTAATTGGAACAGTTCTTTTTTCTGTCTCTTTTAATATATTTTTTTTATACACGTTACGTGTTAAGCTTTAGAGACATATTCTATTGAAGTTTGACTTTGATTGATGATTAGAGATATTTAGAGTTTGATTAGATTGATTTTTAGAGATTTTTAAATTTTGAGAAATATAGAGCGTAAGTTTGCAAACAAAATATAAAAATATGATATTGTTCAATTAATTTTTTTAATGAATTTTGTATAAATAGTCTACTTCATGCACATTTCCCTTACTTTATGCATATAGTTATCAAAATAACATTGAAAATGTTAAAATATCAAAAAATTATTCTAAAGAAAATTTATTTCTACATTTGAAATAATATGCAAAATGCTACATCAATTTTCTACCGTACATTTGAAATGGTGTAAAATTTATCATAATATACACATGTATGTAAAAACTATTACTGTTTAATATGTACAAAGATTTCAAATACACAGAAATGGTTTACACAGAAAACACTTTGCAAATACACAGAAAATTAAAGCATCCAGAGCGAAAGTTACGTATTGCGTAATGCTGAAAATGTCTCGTTGCATTATTTTATATCGCGTTAAACTTTCCCGCGCATCGTTGTTGTGAATTAATGTCAGCTTTATTTTTAACGATGAGCCTGACGTTTTCGAGCGGCTTAAATGTGGTGTCAGACAGTCACGCTGTTTGAATGATCGGTGATCCAGCTAAGCCTCGTTTAAATTTTAAGTGAAAAAGACTAGAGGGAATGTGCATCGATCGTTCGTGGCAGTTTACGAACCCGCGCCTCTGTTTTTATCGTATGTCTGTTATAGGAATGTATAGATCATTTTGAGTATCATTTTGTTTAAACAAACATGTAATAAGAAGACTTTATTTCCTAAGGCAAAAATGAAGAATGCAGAAATTTGCATTGTTAAGATAAAATAATATTGTAAAAAGAATATTAGAAATTATTTTCTACCTAATATTACCAAAGAGAAATAAGTTATTGTAAATTATTTATAATTTAAATATTTGATTAATATGACAGTGCTATTTATGTCGCCAAATTGCGTAACAATTGTTTTGGTCACAATAATAAAGCAATATAAATAATATTAAATTATTCACAATAGAGATTTATCTGTAGCGTTATACTATGTCAATATCCTTGTTCAATACTCGATTATCTGATTAAAAAAAATTTTTTTTTTATTTAACATAATCATAAAGTTCATTAAAAATTTCCTTTAATTGTTTTAATTGTTGTACGTTATGGATCCTAAAGTTATGGCCATTCTACAATAAGACTAATTAATAATAAATCAGAAGTCGGAAGTTAAAAATTGATTCACAGCAACAAATGTAAGAAGAATAATTGACTATGATTGATCAATTTCTAGCTTCTGACTTTTGATTTATTATTACTAATGTCTTATTATAGAATGTGTATTAGAATTAATTGAAATTTTTAATAAATAACGTCCATCGAGTTGGTTTTATAAAAAGAAACCAAAAAATTCGAAATTACACGGAAAAGAAATTTTGCTCGAATTTCATGTTGTCGCGCTATTAATCATTTTCTTCTTCCGTCACCAAACATTCAGACATCGTTTTCTTCAAGTTTCCATTCGATGAGCAAAGAAACGGAGAATCTGAAAGACGCGTGAAAAGAGCGGAACATGTCGGAAAGTTCTATTTCCGGTCGACGGGGCCTGTATCGGGCCCGACGTGAGAACGCGAAATGGCCGACTTAAGGAAGTTTTACTGCGAGACAAACCGGAAGTGATTCGGCTATCCCGAGGGAAACTTTCTTTTCTTCCTGCGGGCTTTTTCGTCGGATTACGGCCGCCGACGAACATCCATTCTCGTTTAACGCTTTTATTTACCGTTTGCGGCTGTCTCTCCAACTTCCTCCCGCTTATCGGAATTTTCTCCAGTCGCGCTTTTTGCTATTGCTTTATTTTTTTCACTGTCCTCCGAAAGCGCTCGCGATAATGGTCAATGAATAACCATTGCTCCGGGAAAACACAAATTATTTCAAACCTCAACCATAATCAAGGATCTCGCAACGTTAAAGTATACGTATTTAGATCAAATACTACGAAGAGATACATTATTTCCAATAGATTGAAAAATAGATTGGAAGGAAATTTAAAGATAACATAGAGAAAGAAGATTAATATACACAATAAGATATACAATAAAAAATAATTAAATAAATATTTAAAGGATTATTTTCTTAAATATTATTTGATTTAAGTATCTGATATTTAGAGTACAATTAGGGAATTGCAAATACTTAAGGAGTGTGCATTTAATTGTCACATGTTAGTAAGCTACATTAAACTACCATTGGATGCGAGAAATGATAAGTTATCACTAAGCTATATATTATACTGCAATAGTATTTTTTGTGTTAGCGTTTATCCATGTGTTCGCAATTCTTCCACTTTCTCCCTATATACCAATATCTATTTCAAGCTTAAAGCCAGAACATATTTGCTTAACGTATAATGTATCAAGAGAATCAATCAATCAGTGTTTTATTTCATGGAAAAGAAAAAAAATGAATTATATTTGATTGGTCCATTTTCTTATGCATTATGCGTTAATGTCCTGTGCGTTAATCTCCCGCTCTTAGAAACAAGGTTTTGCTGCACAAACGCTGATAAATGAAATTATTATTTCTTTTACTCTTTTCTATATACCTGCTCTTTAATTGTTCTAAGCGGTGTAATTTTAGCAAGTTAGATGTTCTTTGCCACGGAAATTCAACTACATCTCGACATGCAGTAGGCAACTATTAGCATCGGAGCGAAAAAGGCCCGAAGCGACCGTTAGGCGTGTTGAATAATGCCGGGGGCGGGCATTTTTTTCTAGTCCAAGTGTGCTATTTTTTTGCATCCGTTCTGTCCTCTATTGCGTAGGGTGTTCTTTCTATCACTCCTTGTTTTTTTTTTTTTTTTCGAGCTCGCCAGTGTCCCTCGGAAAAATCTATAAATCTAGCGCGCGGGCTCGCGAACGTCAGGACCATTCGTCAGCGGGCAGATTGGTGGGAGGGAATGGATTCGAGGAGGGTTGGGGAAGGGGTGCATACGTGGCCGAACCCGTGTCAGGTGAACACTGCAGCTTCGTCCCACATGCAATAAAGCCGCGACGATTTTACGAGCGAGGCGAGCCGGATGACGAGGTAATTTACCTACCCATTGGGAAAGGGATGAAGGGACGACGGGAATGAATCCATACCATGACTCGATACAAGGCGCTTCGATCGTTTCGATAAAGGTCGGCGCTTTTTATCCGACACCCCAAGAGCGATGTCACGTGATTTTCGTGCCTCCGCGGAATCTTCAATCTTCATTCTAGAAGCTCGCTATATCGATCTGATGTAAGAACCGCATCTAACGTAAATGTACACGTGGAGTGAGAACTTGGAATCTATAGTATTAGTATTCAATTTTCAAGATTGACACCCTTTAAATATACGTTTTTAATCCGGGGATCAGTCATCTCGTTTTTTTTTTACGTAAACAATCACCTGAGATGATTTTTTATAAGCTATTTTTACACTCTGACATTATGGACATTATTCACAATTTTCTGAAAAAGAAAAGGTAGAAATTGGACAAATATTAAACCTAATAAATACGTTAAGTGGCTTATTATTATATGATATCTAAAAAATAAAGGATTTCTAAAAGCTCTTAAAAAAATAAAGATTTTAATTAATATAACGCTTTTTATTGCGGATTTTCGGTGGAATTGCATTATTTAAAGGTTCGTAAAACGTAGTTATTGAAAAAGAAAGAAAACAATATCCATTTTAGAACAATATTCATATTTTCTCGTCGCTAAGGTGATTATAACCGGACTTAAAGACTTTTGTAAGAATCTGGGACTTAAATGAATGAAATGATTGCAGACTGGTCTCCTCTCCAACGCGACAGAACGAAGCAGCGAGCAGCAGTAGTGGTTCGACTCAACACGGGGCGACGTTCGCGGTCCGGGTTGGCACGATGGACGGGGTAGTCACGCATCATTTACGAGCTGAAACACGAAGAGATCTGGCGGCTTGGGCACGAGCGATCGTTCAAGGATGTCACACGGCTGCTCATTCCTTGCGAGAATACACTGTTCGTGAGTAATCTCACGTATTAACTATAATTTTGAAGAAGACCGGATTTTTAGATATTTAAAATAATGCCTAATAATTTATTTTAAAGAAAAATTAGAAAATTGATAAAATAACATTGATAAATGGATATTAAAAGTTGTGTAGATGAGATAGAAATGTGTAATAGCGTTTGAAATATTTGAGAAAATTGTGAATCCCCCGAGTTCTTTCTATGTAAGTACAGCAGCGGATGGTAGTCGACGTCTACACTCTCGTCATTTTCCGCGTTCGGTTCGATGAATTTTAATTTCTTTTCAGCGACGACGAACGGCAATAATAAATCGAGATGAATGCCTCACCCATTTCATACGCGTCTTTTTGTTCGCGTCTCGCGTCGAACTCATCGATGATAAAGAACCGTGGATCCCCCTCTCCCCTCCCCCGATGCGGCAATGGAAACGCGCAATGGAAAAATGTATACAGGCTGCCTCATAAAAAATAGTAAATGTCGCAAGAAATTTTCTTGAACATTAATTATACAATTATGATTATGATTATTAAAAATAAATGAAATCTTTATCGATTTTCACTTAATCCGACTTATATAAAATTATAATATTTATATAATTACGTTTTATAATTACTTTGACCAAATTCTTATTCAGAAGAAATAAACTATTAATTTATTAAAAGATTAATTTGTTTTTAAAAATCGTTATATTGTCTCGCTTACGTTATACGAATATGTGTATAAGTTTAAATTGTTCAACTACTATATAATTTGCGTTATTTATTATATAAATAGAACAATTGATAAAACACTAAAACAGCATAGAAGCAACGAGCAAGATATATAAAATTGATTTATATTATTGTAAAAGAATTTGTATCTAATAATATCTCTATATGGTATTTATATTAACATAAATATAAAAATGATGTGAAATAAATAGGTTGGGAGAAGATTTCTATTTTTCTCTCTACTGGTATTTTAATTTTGTGATATTTTGTATGTTATAGGTTGCACATGGCAAGGTAAGGCCTGTCAGTTGGTTGTCAACCACGAAGAAGGCTTCGCGCTTTACTCCGCAGGAACGCGGGGAACTGCCGGGAACGGCGTAAGTCCTGGATCACCACCCACGCCACTCTGGAGAAGATCCTTCGACAAATTGAAAATGTCCGCGGACGACGGCGCCCGTCTTCTGTGGCTCGATTTTGGAGGCGAAGATGGCGAAATTGTGAGTATTTGATAGACATATGGATTTCAAAAATCAAAAAGACTGGAAAATTTAATATCCCGGAGAATTTTCAAGCGTCGTAAATTTAAGAGCAAGTTTATGGAACGAGGGAAAGTTTGTTATAATCGTAAATTTCTTCATTTCAACTTACATCATTCAATGTTGTTACTCCTATGTGCATCATCGTTTTTTTTTTTTTGTTTTATTAATGGTTAGTTAAAAATGGTTAGTTGTTCTTAGTTCCTGAGAGAACTGTTTCCTTATTCATTTGAATTCGTAGACTCTTAACATTGATTAATTAAAAATCAGATATTTTCTTAAACAGTAAGAAACTTAATTACTTATTCTGTCAGCTTTCATGGGTAAATAAAAAGTATCGGTTAATTATTATTGTAGGAACTAGATTTGGAGAGTTGTCCAAAACCAATCGTGTTCGTCTTGCACAACTTTCTTTCGGCGAAGATTCATCGGCTTGGTTTGAGTGCATAGGGGCACGAGGGGGCCCTCACAGAGGCCCCCGACTTGCCCCCTCACACTACGAGGTCTGTTACCAGCGTCTTTCTTCATTGAACTCGAAAATAATCACAGTGAAAATGAGAGAATTAATTTTTTTCTTCGAGAATTCGAAGTAACAAATAACAGAACCGAGACTTGATGAGTCAGAAACATCCTAATGGATAAGAAATATGAGGACTATAATCTTTGTCAAAGGTTTCGCATCACGTGCAGCATCCTATTCTAGTTGCGAAGCTTTGAAATGTGGAAGAAAAAGAGATTTGAAGTGAAACAGTAATAGTGTAACAGTTTAGGAATGAGTGAGAATAGAGTAATGATTTGGACAGGATAACGATCCGAGGATTCTTCGAAAATTATTGGAAAATTATTGAAATCAGCAAAATTTCAATACAATGCTAATTTTATTCCTCCAAATCTGAAAAAAATACCAAATATTAGATATTTAAATCTCAAAAAATTTTAGTATTTACTAACCCGAAATCTTAAAAATCTAAGATTTTTAAGATAATTTAAAAATTCCGAAAGTTTGGGGAAATTTTAGGATTCTTAAGAATCGATTTCATTATTTACAATTAATCCCAAATTGTTTGTTTTAATATGTACTATGTCATGACTTTTCAAAGATTTAAATATTTCTGTCGCCGAAATCAAAATTTAATTTGTACGATTTTAAAAATTAAAAAAACGGCTTAATGTTTTAAATGAAAATGCAAAAAAATATGCAAATTATACGCATCGTAGAATTTTCGGATTCGATCCAAGAATTCCAGTATTTCGTCAAAAAGATATAAGCAAGATGAAAAGAAGACTGTACATTTATAATTTAGACAGTCCACGTTTAAAGATCTTCGTCGAGAAGCTCGATTGCGATAAATCGACTCGAGACGGTCGTTAAAAACTGGGTAACAGTCCTTTTCCTCTTTTTTATTTTCGACGATAATCGATACGAAGCCATCCACCAGACGATATATCGAAGAAAGTACGATACGTGACAAGGACGGAGAGGCGGAAAGGTGAAGAAAAAAACACCGATGCCGCTGATCAACGCGCCTAAGTAACTAATTTAATTAACTACTTACCTAACCCTAAGTAAGACTAATCGCAAAGAACTGATTCGACAGATTATCAATAAATATTCATTAATCCAGCGTCGGATGTCACATTGCGATGATTGTAACGAGCATAGACATCAGATAAGCACAATTGTTTAAATGACGACTAGGCTTCGTTAATATAATACATTCCTATTTTTAAATACAATTTGTATAATTTGAATTTTGAGAAATAATGGTGTGAAATTGTATCTTGATTCAAAATATTTCTATCTGGTACGCGCGAGAGAAAATATTTTATTAAATTAATTTTTTAATGCAAGCTTTTATTTAACATTCTTTTTTGTTTAATAACATTTATAAACAAATATTTGTAACAAGAGATAATGTACGGATTGATTCTCTAATATTATTGCGTAAATATTTTTAATTTAATTAAGTTAATTAAATCCTCTTTTAATTAAATTACGATATTTTAATAGATAGATTCAAATATCATTTTTAATTATATTAATTTATGTCCTATATGTAATTAATTTTTTTATTAATATATATTATTTATAAACGATGTAATGATGTACTGACGAGATATTTTATAATAAACTTTAAATACATTGACATTGTCTATTTAGTTAATATTCATATAAATTGCCTATTATTTGATTAAATTAATGTTCACCCGATTCTAATTATATCTTATTTTTATCTACATTATTTCTCAGGCATTTTACAAAATAAAATATTTTACACAGAATTTAAGAATTCTCTTTTTTTTTGTCGTTTAAACTTTGTGATAATCCTGATCATATGCACGATTGAGACGCTTAGACGAAGCGTGTAACGTACTCGTTACGAATGTAAGAGATAATTATAATGAAGACTACGTTTTCACCGTACATTCAGTGTTATACATGGCTAGCTAGAGAGTTCCAAAATCTAATTCTCACTCAGATACTATACATTTGACGTAAACATAGGTACTTACACATCGTATAATTATATTTAAGATTATGTGGTATTATATTACGGCAGAATGTTGAACGGTTGAACACCACATTTATGATAGAATTTATTGTAGGATATCGTAATATTGAAAATTAAATAGTGTCCGTGTGACATTTTACGCCACATTTCTGTCAATGTAATATCAAAAATGGGACTTTGGCACTGCGCACGGTGGAAACATAGTCATCATTAACAAACAATGAGCCGCTCATTGGTGTTTGACCTTCCACTTCCCTCGAAGGCTTGCAAAATACATTCCTTTAAATTTACTTAAGTCTTAAGTAGTAAAACAAAGCGGGCAAGAATAATAATAATAATAATAATAATAATAATAATAATAATAATAATAAATTTGTTCATTATTCTGAACAAATTTTGTCAAAATGCAGATGTGTATATTACAAAGCGGAAATAACGAAACAGAAGTTGGCATTCAATTATAATTAGTACATTTAATTAGTCGAATTTTTAAATACTTTGTAATAAAAATTATAACTTGAAAAGTTTGTGATTGGGCTTTGTGTAAAAACGAGCTTTTCTCAATCAGCCACATTCTCCACATAACGAAAGAAAAAAATTACATTTTGCATACTTAAATTTTGTGCAGAGATTTCTCATGGTCAGCTTTGTTCTCGTTTTTCCGAAAAATTCACGATCGTACGATCGTACTAAAGTCCACGGAGTTGGGAACACCTGGAAAGGACTTAAAGAGTTTACTCCCTTGATCTTCCGGCGAGAACTTTCCTCGAGATAACGTGTTTCGTTTCGGTAAGACGATATTTATGTCACTCCGCCTCCTGCTCACAGTCAAAGCGCCTCGAGTGAGTTCACGGAAGTTGGAATATCCTGCGCGTTCTCGGCCAAAATACTTTCTAGGAATTGTACTCGAGAATGGTGAGACGATCGCCATCGATCTCAGCCAGACAAAATGGAAATATCCTCTTGGCGGCGCGGCGGTTCCGTGGTGAAGCAAGACTCGAGGTTGACTTATATTTAGTATCCTCCATCTTCGCATCTGTGAATGATGTTAAAAAAGATTCCGACATTTTTAAATTTTTAAGAATTTGATAGTGTCAAGATTAACGAAATTTAAATTGTATACTGCATTTTTGTATGCAGTTTTACTTTACAGTAGAGCAAAAAACACAAAAGTATAATATTTCAAATATATAATCTGCTGAGAATAGATGATTGCTTTTTATAAGAACAAGAAAAATAATATACATTGTGCAAAATCGAGGGAATCGAGTGTGTTAATGTTAAACTATGATAGAAGGATAGGACGATTTATTACACGTTTCCAAAAATATTTCACCAAGGTTTTTCAAATATTTTGATATTTTATAATATATAATTTTTTGATTTGACACTAAATATTTTAAATGCAATTCATATATTTTTAATATATTCATTTAAGAACCGTTATTGAAAAATAGAATATGAAAATTATCACGAAAGAGTTATTCTGAACTATTATAGCATTGTTTATAATTTAAGCAAAACCTTAAAAGGAAAACGCGTGAAATAGAAGGTCCCTTGATAATTCAATGGGCGGCTATTCTAGCTGTTTTGTACGATTCGTATTCTTTAATGCAAGTAAATTTAAGGTAGCAAAAAACATCGATGTGTACAGCCTGATTTTTTTGTTTCTCAAAAACCATAACATATCTAAATAATTATTCATATCATTGCTCAGAAGATAAATGTTAAAAAATCCATGAAAAATAACATGAAAGGAAGAGAATATAAAAATGTTGCGAATTTTCAAGGACTTTTATTTAAAGGATGAAATTAGTATAAAAATTATTGAAAGCTCTAATAATTTATCAAAGGATCTAGAATTGTAATTTTCTAGAATCTGAAAATCCATTTGTAAATTTCACACACACAAAATCTGTTTAAAAATAAATCTATTTTTAACTCTTTAAATAAAATTTAAAGTAATTTGCAGGGATTTGTATATTGGACAGTATAAAATTTAGAAATCTAAAGAGCCACCGATTTATATTAATATGTTTTTGGATGAATTTCAGAACATGCATTAAGGACACATGTATTTATAAATTTTATTTCTCCAGGATAAAAGTTCTCATAAAGATCCAAATCCCTGGAATCGAATCTAAAAATAAATACGTATTCATAATTTTTTAAATTTAGATTATCTGGTTTTAGTATCTGGCACTTGAAATTTTTTTTAATTTTAAAGACTTTGACTTGGTTTCGAAAACCTAGAAGATTGTTAAAATTTTTAATATGTTAATTCAATCGAAAATTTATCGATAATCCATAATAATTATTTGTCATAGAATTATTAAATTGAAACGAGGAAATCAGGCATTTAAAAAATTATCCTTGACACAAGGTTATAAAAGAATGTAAGAATGAAGGTTTTTTTCACAGACTTTTATAGCATATCGTAGGTCGGTATTTTATACTTTACCAGATTAGAGATCACCATAAGTAACTACTGGTTATTGCTCTTATTATTATTTATTTATTTAAATGTATTATTTATATCGCTAAACGATACATTTTTTGTATCCATAAACTTGCAGTGGTTTAATATCGTAGAGTATTTTACGACCAAATTTTTTAATTCCTTCTCCTCAATATTTTTCACATTTATTCTTAACACAATTCTATTCTATTTATAATAATGATGATGATGATGATGATAATAATAATAATACTAATAATAATAATGATAATAATAATAATAATGAGAAAGCGACCTGTAACGGATAACCATCGCGAGGCAGTCCTTGCCTTGTAGTTTCAGAAGTTACGAGACATACTTTCAAACAATAATAATGATGATAATAATAATATTTTAACTACCAATAGATTTTTGTATTATAAATTCTATTATTATGTCTGGCGTGTGTTATAAAAGTCTGTGATTTTTTTTTTTTCTGTATAAATACGAGTGTCTCCCATCGAGATTGTTGAATGTTGTATAGAGTGGACGTACAATAATAAGATTGAGATTAAGTAGACATATCAACGAAGTCATGTACTATTGATTGTATCACTTCCCAAGCATTTTGTGCGCTTCTCTTCAAACCGGAACGATTTTTCACTGCTTTGTAGTTTGCTCACATTATTAGGATTTGTTTAATAAATAATTTAATGAAATCGTGACGATTCTATTAACAATTATTAAATAATTACTTATTTTCGAGGATATTTTATGAATGATTTTGAGATAAACTATATTTAATAAAATAGCCTTTAAAATAAATAATTATTAATCGTATCAAGAGACTTTATGTCTAACAATTATATTATTATCCGAGATTAGAATTAGATTAATTATATAATTAAAATTCACAATTAATTGTATTTAATTTTCTTTTATCTGTGAATAGTATTACATAATTTATATAAATAGACTAATTAATGTTTTTATAGCATATCTGCAAAATTACCTGCAATCTGATATTATCTGATCTTTAGAATGGAAATTCGCGGAAAATGGCGGCGAGGATATTAGTAGTGAATTATTGCGTCCGTTTTGGATCGATGAAGCACATTTCGCATAAGCGCGCGTAAGCGACTGTTAACAAGTTATTAACATAATTATTATTAACAAGCTAAGTTGAACATCGAAGATTTTATTATTGAATTCATTCGCGCGTGGAATGCATATTTTTTTAATAATTTAGAGTAAATCGTTGAGTAAATCGCGTAGGATGTGACGAAAGCCTTCCGCTTTATTTTCCCTAAGTTTGCAGCAAATTTGTATATTATTGAGTTACCAAATAAAAAAGTTAGAACAACGAATGTGCTGATTTAGTTCTTTAGTTCTTCAAATTTATTATTATGTAATTATATAATAATAATAATAAAAATAACACAGGACCATAAACATTTTTGAAGAGCAGCTCAAATCAGGAGGAAGATGTTTCTTATAGATTTTAGGTCGCTGAATTCGAATTCGTAAATCGTTTTGCACGTCTAGTTTTTTAATTAATTGAGGAAAATTATGACGAAAAATGAAAATTAAAACATTGGTGAAAGAGTAAAATTAAATATGACATTAAAATGCGGTCGCAGGCAATTGAATTAAATATATTTTGGCAAATTTAACAAAGTGTAAGAAATAGAGTTTTTAATTTTCCGGAAAAATAAAATCGAGGAAAAAACTAAATTTTTTTCCATTTTTTTCCAAAAAAGTATTTTTTTTAATAGATTTTTTTCGCCTATATTTGAATTTAATGATAGAATGTTGCTTTAAATTATTTTAAATTATTTTTTACAAATAAATAGAAGATTTATCTCCATTTATGGATTATTACATATATAACAAGTTTTTCATGTACGTTGATTGACTGTAGGATGAAAAAATTTTCGAGTCTAAAAATATTTTATGCTGTCAGCCAAATAACAAATATGAACATACCTGCAACTTTGTCATACGACAATATGTGTACGTAATAACTTATAATCTTAAGAAATTTGTTTTTTCCGACATTAAACAGAATATTTTTTTTAATTTCATAAATGATGATGACAGGGAACTTTATTCATATATTTTATTAAAAGAGAATTCTTAAAAGTAAAAAATTAGCAATTTAATGAAATCATTGACATAAAGGACAATAAAAATGAAATTATGTTAGAAGAAAAAAGTCTGAAAAAATATGATAAGGAAAAAACTAGGAAAAATCCGTTTTTTCCAAAATTTCCGAGAATTTATTCGAACTAAGAACACTAGTAAGAAATAACAATTTTGCTTTACTAATTAGATATTATAGCCTCTCTCTCTACACATACACATATATATATACGCTACTCGAGCGGTGCGCGTATGTAAGATAATATCTAACATTAATAAAGTAAAATTGTTGTTTATTACACTTTGTTAAATTTGCCAAAATATATTTAAATCAATTCTGCGACCGTATTTTAATGTCATATTTATTTTTATTCTTTCCCTAATGCTTTAATTTTCACAGATTTTTCGTTCAATTAATTTTCTTCAATTAATTAAAAAACTGAACGTGATGAAACAAAATGGCTTATGAATTCGAATTCAGTAATCTAAAATCTATAAGAAACACCTACTCTGATTTGAGCTGTTCTTCAAAAATCTTTTTTGTTCCTTTTTTGTTATCCTGTGTAATATAAGATAAAAGAATGAAGGCAACTTTAAACAATTATCGCGAGCTGGCTAAGACACTTTCCCCGGAAATCCGAGAGGTCTCAGGTTCGAATCCTGGCTGAGGTAATATTTTTCGCAATAAAAGTGATTATTGAAATAAAGAGGGAATTATATATTCGCGATTGTCCAAACGTTTCGGCTCGCGATTATTAGGATCTCAGATTGATTGTGTTTTAATGTCCGAACATTTTGGCGCACGTTTGAGATTAATTAAATTTATGAATTTAGAATATTATATTATTCGTAACTTCCAACTTTGACCGATTCTTAGGCGCTCTCTATATTTTATTTTTAAACTGATACATTTTTTTATAATATTAAAATGTTTTTTATGATTATATTTTTTATGATTGTATTTTCAAATTTGAATTTTAGAATTTATTAATACAATATAAATTATTTTATTTTAATAGAAAATTTAAATTCTTAAAATTTAAATTGTATCTATTAGAAGTTAATGAAGAAGGTAATTGTAGTTGTACATATAAATGCATGCATTAAAATGAAATGAAGAATAATTTTTGGATATTAAAAATGAAATATTTTTGCCGTATAGAGAGTGATCCGAAATTCTCGCATTCAGAGTACAGGATATGATACTTTACAGGACATGATGCTAAAACAACTTTTTCCTTTAGCAAAATTGCGTTCGATAAATAATTTTTGCGTTTATGTGTTAACTTCAACCTGCTGTTCTGCAAAAACTACTTATCGGATGCAATTTTGTCAAGGGAAAAAGTTTTTTGTATTAAAACGAACAACTTTTTCGTGTAGTAAAATGACATTCAATAAATAAATTTTTGCGTACTTACTCGTATAACTTTAACCTACTCTCCTGTAAAAATTACTTGTCAGAGAACGAAATTTTGCAAAAGGAAAAAATTGTTTCTTTTAGTATAAAGTATTATGTTCTGTACCCCCGAATATAGGAATTTCAGATCACCACATGTATATATGTATATATATATATAAAACTCGAAGACAATTTATTTCTATATTCACGTTGCAAAATAATTTTGATGACTATTGTACTACTTGTGAAAATTCAGACTACTATTTTTAACACATCCTGTATCACAAGCTTCTGGAACGCACCGCATGATTTACGTGCGGTAAGCCCCGCGAGCGAAATGGAAGAGATCTTCGACCGGAAGACAGATCAGAAAAGTTTCGCGAGGCAATCACGAGACGTGGATATTGGGACTGCCGATAAAAATGACAAAGTCTCGAAACTTTTTGTTCGTCTTGCCGCCCCTCAGCTCTGTGAAAACCTACTTTTGTCGTTTCCAGTCACGAAGCTGCGCTATTCTTTTGAATTTCTTTAGAACTCCAATCGTGCAGTCGTAAATTATGTATCGAAACGCAAAGAAAAGAAGATTTCTTTTAGATTGTATTTACTGCCCCGACTACGATATCGATAGTTCAAGTACATCTAAAACTAGTGCAACTTCATGTGTTAGAACATTAAAAACATATAGTACAGCTGAAATAGTTTTTCAAACATACACATATCATTACAAAGAGATAGGACTTCAAGTCTCTCAATAGATTCAAATTTATTCAGATGTTTTCAAATTTTCCATAACTATTAAAAAAAAAATAAAATTAGTATGCTTCCATTAATAAATTGATTAATTGATCAAGTGAAAAATAATAACAATTAGTAATAATAGTTAATAGAAAAGTTTCTGTCTATAATAAAGAATAAGGGGTTAAGTCACCTCTAAAGTTTGAAAAATTAAATTTTCTTTTTTGCTTAAATAGTTTTTAATCATAGAAATACATAGATGAAAACAGTTTTATAGCGACATCCCTATGCATATCTTAATGAAGCGCCTCACCGCACTGCCGAATGCTGCAGAAAAACTTTAAACGCATTTTTCTTAAAATAGCATTTTAAATCGATATAATTCTTATAGTTTTTATCCGATTTACTTTTCACAGAATATTCTTTCATATACTCTGTAAAAAAGTACATACATAGGTTTTTTCGAAATCTTGAAAACTTTTTTTGCAATTAACATTTTTATACATTTTTTATACATATTAGGACAAAAAAATGTAAGTTTTTCGTAAAATAATTGCCATTTTGAGAAAAATCAACATTTTGATAAATCCATATATACTTGTTTGATCTTTGATATGTAGATAATGAAAATTCTTTGAATTTTGTTCAAAGTCAAACCATGTGCCTGAAATCCTGTACACTGATTTGGAACTGCAGAGAGGGTTCCGTAAGTGAGTCAATGCTTTGCCATTTTGAACTTTTTTAATTTGTTACATGTATACTGAAGATTTCTAAACAGATTTTAAATAAAGTTATTTATTTACTCACAAAAAGTATCCAAAGATAGATGTTATTTTAGGGCCTAACCCTCTTAATATAAGAAATAAAATAATAGTTGAAATCAATTTTTTACTTCAAATTATACATAATAAATATCTGCAAACTTATAAATCGAATTTAAATATAGTGCGATTGTATAAAGTGATGTTGGATGCGGATTAAAAAGGATTTTGGAAAAGCGATTATTTGATCAACAACACAGACATTTCCGAGTGTGTTTTATGCTGTTTATCGGTTTTTCGTTGCACGCTTCGTCAAATAGAGTGAATTATCATTGTGCTCGGTCGATTGTATGCCACGTCCAAAAAAAAATCGAAGCCGATAAAATGGATCGAAGATTTGACACGTATTCGTCAATACTATTCAAATTTTTGAGCAATGGTTTTATCAATTCCTCGTGTTATGGGGGTTACGATATCCGATGCTGTGCTTTGTGTTACAAAACTTTATCTAGATATTTGCAGATGTCGTCCACCGCAACTAAAATGAAACGAGTTCTCTTAATACATAACATTAGTTTTTTTCTAATTCTAATGTAATGGTACCTCTAAACTAATTTCTGCGTTTATGTTTTTTTCAATAAAAATATCAAACATTTATATACGGAGATATTTTACGTTTTAGATTAAATTTTAGACAAATTGAGGATATAATATTAAAATACTGGTTTCAAATTAACTTCAAGTAGGAAATTTTTTCAGAGATTTCATCTTGTTTACACTAGTTTTTTATACTAAAAATAAAAAGTTATGATTTACATTAATGTCGTTAACTTTATTTTTATTTTAGCAAGTTTTATGCAAAAAATAGAACAAAAATATCATATGTAATTTTTTGAATTTAAATATTTATGCGTTATTATTATTATTATACAGTTTTAAATGGATGTTCTCAGTCTGGAAAACATCTCTTTAATTTATATAAATAATTAATTCGTATAATATCCTGGCGAAGTACGCGCTCAATTTTATAGATATTTTTAAGTTTCCTTTTTTTTGTATTTTTTTAATATGAGAAAGTTGTAATCTTTTTCATTATTAACTTTTTATTTTCCTACTACAAATTGTCACAGATGAAATAGCAGTACATACTTGCTCCGACGTAATTAAAATTATAGCTTAGCCAGATGTAATAACAATGATACCGGATGGTGATGTCGGTTGCGGTTTTGATAACAGAATTTTTGTAACGATGCTGCTTGTTTGTATGTCGCGACACCCATGCGGGGAAAAGGGTGCGATCGAATTTGAAACAAGCGCACTCGCGGACATGTACACGTGACCAGAGCTGAAATAACGTCGACCGCTACTATTTGCATTTCAATCGGCCGTCTATCGTTCTCCAGCATGCCGTTGCAATCGCCTTGCAGGAAGCCCGACACATTTATTGCGTTCGCCATAGTTGCTTGCTGCATGAGAAATTAATCTTGTTACGCTCAACTTTTACAACATATAGGGGAAGTTTGGGCAAAGCAGATATGTAAAGGTTTGAAAAGAAAAATTACACAGTTAAAAATTAAGACATTTTTTTTATTCTAATAATTAATGGAACCAACTTTGAAATTAAATTAAATTAAAAAACTTAAACATTTAAATGTTTTTTTTAGTCAAAATGTAAAAAAAGAGAAATCATTCGCTTTGCCTGACCCTCCTGAGTCAGGCAAAATGGATGGGTCACTCGAGCAATAAGGATGAAATTAAAAAATCAAGTGTCTTCACAAAAGTAGCTGCTAAATCCTTTATATAATGCATCCTTCATAAGCCCATTGATGTGCTGACTAGTTTTTGGATAGTAAGTCGATATATTTTTCAGAACACACATCATACTCTGTGGAAAAAAAACAAAAGTGAGATGTAAACAATCGTGTGTCTTTCGTTTACTCGAAAGATCGTCAATCCCTCTTACCGATATTTTCAATGCAATCACATACCGGGTAAAGAGGACCATTAGCTTTGGCCCCATTCACTTTGGCCAAAAAACCTACTTGACGTGAATTTGAAAAAGTTAGAATAAATTTAAACAAATGAAAAATTGTAACTTTGAATACACATTTAAAAATAAAGAATCCCTATAAAATCATTCATATAATTATGAAACAATTATTGCTAATAATTAAGCTACGTACCTGGCTTAGCGAAAATCGCAAGCACACACATACAATTTCTTTTATTATTTCTCTAGCAAACAAACGAGCGCAATTGTATGTTTCGCACTTTCGAGGTAGGTCACTTCTTCAACAGTTAAAGACTCATATTTTAGATAGATAAGCGAAAATAAAAAAATATTCGCTTTGCTCGGGCTTCCTCTACCTGTATGAATGCTGTATTGATCACCTTTTTAAGTTCAAATAAAATTTATATCTAAAATTTTTTATTCTGTAGGATAAAGACAAAAAATATTATTTCTTTTTACGTTTTATTTACATACAGACAATCAGCATTAAATTATTTATTGTCAACATTTATCTTGATGTGTGATTTAGAAAAATTACAGCATGGGAGGAAAAAATGGAAAAAAGGATGAAGAGAACAGGGTGAAAAATTTAATATTCGCGATATTATGCAGGTTTTGATTGGAATCTCGCGAGAGATTCACGAATTCGTTCTTACGTTTCCCGACGTTCTGCGGAACAATTGAGCTTTTGTGGCAAGTTCGAAAGCTTGACGGCTGCACGAATTGGTTATTAAAGGCGAAAGACGCGATGCACCTGCCGCTGCAACTCTCGCTGCACAACTTAAGCTGTCCGTTGCAGTTGTGTAATAGTTGCAGCAAATGAAATAAAGTGCTATCGTTAAAATGTAAATTACGCGAAAATTACTAAAGTATATCAAAATTAGAAAGAATTATTTATTATTTATTATAAAAGAATATATGAATAATATCATATAGAAATATATTATAATTAAGCTTATAAAAATTCATATATTCGAACTCATATATTCAAACTTCTAATCTAATATGCATATTCCATAAATTAACATTAATTTAAATTGTTGGAAAAATAAATAATAAATAAAAAATATTGTAAATTGAAAATTGGAAAATGTTTCCTTAGAAATCACTCTGTATGATTCCAGTTGATTTCTCGTTCTAAGGTGTCAGAGTCGATCGTAGTAGTCTTCCGTCTGTTAGGATTTCTTGGGATTCCCTCGGCGATGCCGGAAGCGGGTCAGTCGGGTGCATTCGAGCGAATCGCGACGGTCGAACGACGATGTCCGAGGCATTGCGATTCAATATCGTTATCTTCGTAGCTTTCACAGAACGGGAAACACATATCTGCGTCGTGCACGTTCCGGTGCGGCGTTTGGAATCTCTGACGTAGAATACACGATCCCGTTCCTCATTCCTGGTTTTGCTCTTCTCGCTTTCTGCGATTTCGTGTTTTCTTTCTCCGGGACGTACAATGTATTCCGTTGATATAACTTATTCAGAAAGAAATTTTTCGTAATACTAATTTCAAGTTGAACAATATATTGCAATTAAACTGAGATTAAATTTAATATACAATAATTAAGATGATAAATAAAAAAGTATCATCTTTATATTTTTAATATTAATATAAAATACATATGTTTCCTTATTTATAATAAATAATATACAAGTGGATATACAACTCTCCCCTCGATCTCGTATTATTTTTAATTTTTAATCTTAAAATATCAGACTAGATTAAAAAAAATATTTGAATTAAGTATAAAATATAATTTTATACAGGATGTTCTTATTATATTGTTAAAATAATCAAGGAATCATTTCTTCAAGTTTATAATGGCAATATTGATATTTGTTCTTTTATTCGAAATCGCGTGTGTTTCTAAAAAATAGATCCTATTTAAACGATTCATTTTAATTAAAGTTTTTAATCTTTTATTATGTTTTTTAAAATTTCAAATGTTTTTTGTAAATATATGGGTATGAACCATTGTAAGTACCATGCAGTTTCTGTAAATGCGTGGTGCACGTCAACGTCGGAGCTGCAAGGCCAGCGTAAAGATCTGTTTACGTAAGAACACAGAAGAGGAACGCGACGCTTCTTCTCTATCTCTCGCTATAAAGCTCCTTTCGTTCGTGAGATGAATTCCGCGGTACGTGTTTAGCGTTGCGCATCAAAGCCAGTGCATTCCAACATACAGGTAAGCTCAAAACATACTCGAGATCCTAGAATTTCCAATTTCTTCGAATTTCTACTTTTCTAGGTAAGCAATTCTTTACCCCAAGAGAAACACAATTTTCTTTTATATGTGTTTGTAAATCTACAAATTTACACTAGTGTCATTCCCTTTTTTATTATTTAGAAATAAATCTTCTAAAAATTTAAACATTTACCTAGTATATGAAAACAGCTTCTTTTATAGGTATTTTTTTGAAAAATGTTCAAGTCTTTGCATTTTATTGAACACTTATTTTAAACGTATTAATTGTTTTGTTGTTTTTATATTTTCTTGCTTAACTTTACTCTTGCTTTTTCATTACTCTATAATTGATTCGATTTAATAATGAACAATCGTGTATATATGTCAGAAATAGAAAAATAAAAAATATCAAAATCTAATTTAAATTTATTTTAATGAGATTAAAAAAGATAATGATGGGAAAACTGGAAAAAAATTCGATGACATCCATTATAATTGCCCTTTTTTCAAAGGAGTGTATACTTGATTTTTATATTCTTTGATAAAGAATTACTTATATAT